TGGCTCCTTTCCTACCAGCTGCTAGACCCCTTGGCTGAGAAGAGGAGACTGCAATCACCAGCAGTGCTAAACATACGAGATTTATATTTTCTTATCTACCTGAAAACACCTACACCTGAAGTAACCCATTTACATTAACGCTGCAACTAACGTTTTGAAAAGGAGCAATAAGTGCCTGAAATCATCAAGGATACAAGAACTTCTGAGGGCAAAGAACATTTCAACCTATGTTCTGCGAACAGAAAAAAGTTGTGTTAAAAAAAAAAAGCTTGAGGGAACTTAAGCACATTTGACAGAAAAAAGTTGGTCACACTTATCTCCTTATGTATTTCCTTTTCTTTTCCTGTATTTAGCTATTATGCCTTGGCGTACTGGCAGACCTACCTCCCAGGGGTGGGAGTCTCCTGTCTTGTGCGTGCATGAGTACCTAATGGGGCCAGAGCCCTCAGGAGGGCCTGGGGGGGGCCACGGCACACCAAACATGAAGTCTGGACGTTGTCGTCAGCCACAATGAACGGCAAACCCCTTGAGGAACATCCTCTTTCCCCCTCTTTCTTCATCTGCCCCTTCCATGCAATCATTCTCCCAGAAAACTCTGCATGCCCAGAAGAAGGGGAAGGAGCCGAGAGAGCTGAGAAAGTCTTTGCTTAGGTACTTGTTTTGCATCATCTGAACTTATGTGCCATGAACACGACTACTGCTAAAAATCCCTCGGAAGGATTTTAGGCAGGAAACCACCCTCCTTATGCCAACAAATGTCACTTTTGTGGCATTGGGAGGGGGCTCGTTATGCAACTTGACCCCGAGTGAAAGGTGCAGACAAGAAAAAAATATTAATAATTAGTACCACCATCGCTTTCCCACTCCACTTCACCAAGAGATGGGATTACTCGAGCCTCCCCTCGCGCACACCCTGTTCAAATGCATCATTACATCTGACTACCTGAACAATGCAAACTGCCACCCTCAGCAGGGAGAAACACTCTCCCGTGGTATCGCCGAGGGTCAGCATGTTAATGATAACAATAGTCTGCTGAGCTACCAGGCTGGCCTGTAAACAGGAATCTTAATCAAAGCCACAAACCCACTACAGCAGAAAACAGAGAGCATTTACTTCGAGTAGTCATTTTATCCTGCAGCTTGACAAAGCAAATACATTTTAGTCCCATAAATCAAATGAAGGAAAGCAGAGGAAGGTAACTGCAAGTGTTTGATCCCGCAATTACGGAGCTTTAGAAGAGCTGTGAGGTGACTTCTTTCACTACTGTCCCTCCTAAAGGAAACTTCAAAAAGTCGAAACTAAGAAACTTATCAAAAAAAGGGAAAACTTTTATCCCTTGTCAAGTCCTAGTGAGGCGTAAGTCTCCAGCTACCAGGGCTAAAAAGATTAATTAGAGTCATTCAGGGATGTGGAATGCCCAGATTCCACCGGTCACGGCCACAACAAAAAGGTACATTATTTTAAAGGCAGCCTGGACCACAGAGCGACTCACACACACACAGAAACAAAGATCGGTGCCTACCTCAAAATCATTTGCTTTATTGTAGTGCATGTTCAGGGCCCTGTACAGCTCACAGTCTCTGGTTATAGACAGCTCCTCAGTGCTCGTGACCCCGTCGTTGATGGCTTGCCGCGCATACTTCTCCATCTGAATGTAGTAAAACTCACGGAAATTGCTAAACCACTTGATGAGCTGAGAGGTAATGCATCTGTTGAACTGTTAAATTTAAACAGTAAGAAGGATAAGAGCACTGACATTCCTCCCCCCCAGCCCCATTTCTTTTAAAAAGCATTCTTTCCTCCCCTTCCCCACCACCTTTTAAACCCATGTCTCCGTGTTTCTACTGTGGGGGGCGTGGGGGAAGCAGCTGGCAAATTATGTTAGTGTATCAGACGAGGGGAAAACATATATGGCCCAAAAATTCCAGGACAAATAACTGAAGGGTAATGATACTGCATCCAACCGGTTTCCCAATCTTTAAAGTACTCTAGATTTT